GCTATCATTCTACAGAAACAGAAATTGAAACATCATTTCACATTATTAGTTAGGCTAAGCAAAGCAGGGAAGGCTTCTTCTTGCAAGATAAAGTTATGAACATAAGAGTAAATGAAGAGTGTTAGTTACTTGTTCTTTATATCAGCTTCTCTTCTGCCAAGTTTAGGAACATCAACAGTTAGAACTATAGCCTTGAATCCAGCTTTCTCAGCTCTTTTCACCACCTGAGCAGTTACATCTCGTCTCTTGTACACCTACAAAAGATATCAGATCAGAGCAAACCAAATAACCAATGCATAAAGCCTAAACAAAGGAGGCACATTTAAGGATAAGATAAGCCGCTAAAAAAAAACGGATTGTGTACTTACATATAGTTGAAGAAACCGAACAGCGTTACAACTGGAAGCAACTTCCTCAAAAGTGCATGAAGCCATGTAAGAAACTATCTGCAATATACAGAGCAAAAAAAAAAAAAAAGAAGCTGTATTCATCTCCTTAGAAACTTAGAACCCAAACAGTGGAAAACACCTTAGTACCATGATCGTGTTACACGCAGCTGCAGCTTTCGCAGTGGCTTTTTCTCCTAACATAAAATGGAGAATCAAATCATTTGCCGAACCCAAAAAATTGCAGAGATATGTTGATACAAAGTTATGAAGGAACACAGAAAAACCTTCTGGATGGGCCAACATATGATATGCTGTTGGAGCAATCATGATTGGCGCTGAGATTGGGTACCCTAATATTCTAGTAGACGTATCTATTTTGCTCACATCAACAAGAACCCTAGGCCTAAACCTGAACATCAAAAAACATACAAGACACAAATGAAAGAGTGTTAGTGTTATTACAGTGTCACTCACTCACTAACCAAAAGAAGATTGAAATGGGAGTTGTTACATGATTCTCCGGAAAGCTTCAACATTTTCCTTGAGAGTGTGTTGATCCTCTGCTCCTCCCCTGTAGAAATCATAGTACATCTTTGGGAGAGCCTGTTTTGCCAGCTCTTGAAACTCATTCACGTTAACGATCTGATCCATCTTTCTACAATCCAGTAAATAGAAAAGGAAAGAAATTGAGAATCAGATAACAGTGATCTACAAGATTCTTACTCCTCCAACAAGATTAAACAGAAATGATCAAATCTTCAAGAGGCCTTATCATCATTCCTACGATCGTTACAGAAATAAGTAATCTTGTCTAATTTTGAACTGAGTCGACTGAAGTAGTAAATGCAATCTTTAAATTACTCGAAACATAGCTAGTATCGTCAGAACTAAAAACCATAAGAATGTGATCCTAAAGAGCTGATTGTGCAAGTACTCACATATCTGAAGAATCCAGCCAAAGAAAGCGAGATGCAGAAATAGACCTTGGACCCCAAGAAGGTGAAAATCTACTTTTTCAAGACTCAAAAGTAAAATGAAACAGAAGAAAGAAAGACCACTGTCGGAGAATAATTGAACCTCGTCCAGACCAGAGCTGTCGGTGTCACAAAACGACATACAGTATATTGTAAGAACTAAGAAGCACCGAGTGGGTTGGATCCTACGAAGACTCTAAATCGGCCAGAGTGTTTGCCCCTTTCGTTAAATTGCTGAACATATAAATGGTTAGCGGATTTAAAATTTATAACGTCGTTGACCCATATAAATGCAATGAAGAAACTGTTTTAAAACTTTGCATGGTGATCAGAGGGATGTTGGCAAGGCAGAAATGGTAGTCTTGGAGTTTGGAGATGTTCTCCTATTTGGTGGCAATTCCAGAAACGTCTTTCATGGCGTCAGATCAATTCGTAAAGATACTGCTCCTATGGCTCTTGTTCAAGAAACAAGTCTCCGACCAGGTCGTCTGAATTTGACTTTTAGGGAGTACTAGAAATGATGTGATTGATGCTGCAACTCTTGTCTTCATGTTTGTCATTTTTTTCACTAAACATAGCTTTTAACTTATAAGTAAGAAGAGAACATGACACAATGGTTCTTTCAGACTAGCATACAACATATTATTGATCATAGTGAACAGATAAAAAAAAAAAATGAATCATATCTGAGTATATATTGAATGCTTATCTCTGTCTTTACTTCACTATTATGGTTTCTGGTTGCCTTTTTCTGCTGTTATACTGTCTGATTCAGAGCGTAGAGCGAAGTCTCTCATCCTCAGTCTTAACATGGTTTCTGGTTATGTCCTTAAGGGTGGGACAACCAGAAAGGGCCATAGTAATCTCAAACTCGTTCTTCAACATGTCAATCACTTTTCTCACTCCATCTTCACCCTTAGCTGCAAGCCCATAGACTATAGGCCTCCCTATCTGCAGCATCCAACAAAATAGTGCCATCACATCAACAGAGAGCAACCTGTAAAAATGTATCCCAACTACCAAACCTCTAACATTTAAAGCTTACAAGAACAGCTTGTGCTCCGAGTGCCAGTGCTTTGAAAACATCGGTTCCTCGTCTCACTCCTCCATCAAACAAAACCGGAATCCTCCCTCTAACAGCATGAACAACCTGAATTTTCACAAATGAAAAAAAATATAAGCTTGCTCTTAAAGAAGAAAAAAGTTTATTCTTTCTTCTCAAGCATGCTTTGATGTGTTTAACCTCTTCTAAAACAGTTATCGTAGCTGGGGAATAGTCAAGCTGTCGAGCCCCATGGTTGGATACAACTATTCCTTCTACACCGGCTTCAACAGCCTTAAGAGCTGCCAATATCAAACAGAACAATGTTTCTTTTATATGCTTTTTCAGTTTCTCTATAGCCTTATATATCAGAGAGTATGAGCCATGAACCTTACCGTCTTCACGTGTGAGTATCCCTTTCACCAGAATAGGCAACTTCGTAATAGATCTCAACCATTCAATGTCCTGAAATTATGCAGTGGAAACATTACAAGGAATGCACTCACAGTGTCATGAATCAGTTCACAAGATTTTTACCTTCCAATTAAAAGAAGCATCAAACGCACGAGAGGCAAAGGCTTGAACCCCTGAACCTTCACTCTGAGAAAAAGCTATCACGTCAATAACAGGTAAGGATTCACTTAACACAAAACTCAATCAAAGCTCTACTTACAGGTCGGACTTCGGTTTCAAACAAACCTTCGAAATTCCTCAGCTTTGGGGATCTCATTCTACACACAGAGAAATTCAAACATCATTCTATTAGATATACAGTAAGTAAAACTAGGGAAGGCCTCTTCTTGCAAGAAAAAGTTGCCAAAATTGAAAATTCTAAGGGCAATGGAGAGTGTTAGTTACTTGTTCTTTATATCTGCTTCTCTTCTGCCAAGTTTAGGAACATCAACTGTCAGAACTATAGCCTTGAATCCGGCTTTCTCAGCTCTCTTCACCATCTGAGCTGTTACATCGCGTCTCTTATACACCTACAAAAGGTGTCAGACTCATCAACTATGCCTTGATACTAAACCAAAGAAGCAGGTAAGAAAAATCAAGATTGTGTACTTACATATATTTGAAGAAACCGAACAGCGTTACAACTAGAAGCAACCTCCTCGATAGTGCATGAAGCCATGTATGATACTATCTGAAATTTCACAGAGACGAAAAAGCTATATACATCATCATCATCATCTTAAGAACACAAACAGTGAAAAGCAATAAACACCTTAGTACCATGATAGTGTTACACGCAGCTGCGGCTTTCGCAGTGGCCATTTCTCCTAATATAAAAGGAGAATCAAATCAAACAATTGCATAGATATGTTAATAGAAGTCGGGAATGAACAAAGAAAAAACAGAGACCTTCTGGATGAGCCCGCATATGAGATCCTGTTGGAGCAATCATGATTGGAGCTGAGATCGGGTAACCCAATACTCTAGTAGACATGTCTATTTTGCTCACATCAACGAGAACCCTAGGCCTAAACCTGAACATCAAAAAACATACAAGACACAAATGAAAGAATATAAATTAGTTATTACAGTGTCACTCACTCGCTAACTAAAAGAAGATTGAAATGGGAGTTGTTACATGATTCTACGGAAAGCTTCAACATTTTCTTTGAGAGTGTGTTGATCTTCTGCTCCTCCGCTATAGAAATCATAGTACATTTTAGGGAGAGCCTGTTTCGCCAGCTCTTGAAACTCATTCACGTTTACAATCTGATCCATCTTTCTACAATCTAAACAAGAATCAGATAACACTCCTCCAAACAAGATTAAGCAGAATCGTCAAGAGGCCTTATCATCATTTCTTTGATCGTTATAAGGACCATTTACCGGACTCAAAATCTTGTCTAGTTTTTAACTGATTTGACTGAAGTAGTAAATGCAATCTTTAAATTACAAGGAAACATAGCTAATACTGTCAAAACTAAAACCACAAGAATATGATCTTAAGTGCTGATTGTAGATGTACTCACATATCTGAAGAATCCAGCCAAAGAAAGCCAGATGCAGAAATAGACCTTGGACACCAAGAAGGTGAAATCTACTTTTTCAAGTCTCTAAAAGTGAATGAGACCGTAGAAAGAACACTGTCGGGAAATAATTGAACCTCTCGTTGTCTGTCAGTGACACAAAACGACAATGTATACTCTTGTCCTTTAATGGATTGGACCTGCGAAAATGATATCGGCCCATATGGATAAAAATAGTCGGCCCAATACGTGAATGGTTAGCGGATTTTAATTTTATAACGTCGTTGATATCCCACGATGACATGGCGTGCTGAGTCAGCATCGTCAATGACGGTGTCCGTGCACGGCGAGTGAGTTTCCAATTTTCCATTATCAACGCCGGATTTTTATTTTGTACACCGACTATTTAAATGCTCAGAAACCGATAATTTAAATGCTCAGAAACCGAAGAGTCTCTCTTTTTGCAAAGTTGCGGTTTTTGCCTCTTTTTAAGAAACTTTGTGTCTATAAAAAACTAAAAAGGAGGCGATCGGATTTCTAGTGGAACGATTCACTTGTATTTTTTACCTGACAAAGCTACCGTCTTTCGAGAGGGTTTGTGTTTGAGAGTAAAGCGATGAATCACGGCGAAGCTCAAGGTTCCGGTGGCCGCCATAGGGGTTCTGGTGGTCGTTCTCCGTCGTCTGGGCAAAGAGGTCATCGTCATAATAGCGAAAATCCGGTAGTTATAGTTGATTGTCGTTTCGTATTCTTAATTCCGAGAATGTTTGTGGATTGTGATGTTCTGTTCCGTTTTTAGAAATTTGTAATCCGTTATTTGATTACACTTGACTTGCTTCGTGCTAATGTTATGGTTCGTAATCAGATTTTTCCTTTGTACTCTACAGGTTACAGTTGATAGGCCTTTCGGTGAATCTTCTTGTAGTAGGAACAGGGGATCTCAAGGGAGAGGAAGAGGTAGAAATAGTCCAAAGCAAGCTTGGGTTGTGACGTCACCCCAAGTTTCCCATGTGAATAGAAAATCCCAAGAGGATGGGACTGGTTCTACTTATAAGCAACCTGATGAAGTTGCTGCCTTGAAGATCTCTGGAGATGACAAGGATCTTTTGCAATCATCTGCTTCGTCTACCTCAACCAACATTAATCTTGTTAGTGGAGGTGAGGACAAGGATGTCAGGGAATGCATTGTGATCAAACAGTCACATGTTTCCTTGTCTTGCCAGGAGTCTCCGTCTTCTTCTACAAGTGATCACAAGGTTGAGATTTCTAGTGGCGAGGATCATGATACTGCTCACAAGTCTGGTGATGCAGAGAACGCTTCGAATGAAAGTGAGAAGAGACCTTTCGATCTCTTCTTGAAGACGAAGGTGTTTAGACTAAAACCGTCCGTGTTTGAACTGAACAAAGATAAGAGGAAAGAAAGTAAGGGCTACACTGGAAGTGTTATCAGACCTGGAATGGTACTTCTTAAGAACTACTTGTCAATCAATGATCAAGTAACTACTCTCTCTCTCTCTCTCTCTCTCTCTCTCTGTTTCCCTTTTCTTTTAATGTGTTTGCTTATCTTAGAATGCATCATTTATGATTGGTTTGCTCTTGAAACTGTGTGTAGGTGATGATTTTGAAGAAATGCCGTCAGCTTGGTGTGGGTGAAGGAGGCTTCTACCAACCAGGTTATCGAGATGGAGCGTCACTCCATTTGAAGATGATGTGCCTTGGGAAAAACTGGGACCCTCAAACGTGTAGATATGGAGAAACTCGACCGACTGATGGTTCAACACCACCTCAAATCCCTGTTGAATTCAATCGTTTTGTTGAGAAAGCAGTCAAAGAATCTCAGTCCCTAGCTGCTGAGATACCATATATGTCACCAGACATCTGTATTGCTAACTTCTACACATCCACCGGGAGACTCGGTCTCCATCAGGTAAATAGTGTTTCAAACAAGTTCTTGAATTTCATGAACCTCAAAGGGTAGTTGCATCATTAACCTTTTGACTCCTTGATGTTTCAGGACAAAGATGAGAGCATAAAGTCCATTCGAAAGGGATTGCCTGTTGTTTCGTTTTCCATTGGAGATTCGGCCGAGTTCTTGTATGGTGATCAGAGTGATGAGGACAAGGCTGAGAAAGTTTTCTTGGAGTCTGGAGATGTTCTCCTATTTGGTGGCAAATCCAGAAATGTCTTCCATGGCGTCAGATCAATTAATAAAAATACTGCACCCAAGGTTCTTGTGCAGGAAACAAGTCTTCGACCAGGTCGTCTGAATTTGACTTTTAGGCAGTATTAAACCAAAGCTAGAAACTTTTGTTTGTATCTTGAAACTATTTTGCTGTGACTGATCATGTAAAAATTGTGGGCTCATAACCTACTTTTTTTCTTTTGGTTCTCTAGAAAAAGGAATGAATTTGCAGATTTCTTTGCAAGTTTTTCTACTATACACAATAAATTAGCACACAATGTTTATAGCTTAGGCTCTAGTTAGGTTTGTGAAGTTATTTCTTCAGTCACGAGCTTGCTGATACTCCAATAGCTGATGCAGCTGAATCTACATAAAGTAGCAAGCAAGAGTATATTTTCTTCTTCAACCGTTCTATATTCTCTAACAAAGAATTGTCACTACACTGATGATCACTTTTCACTTTGTCAAGCCATTCGTTTGCTTGCTTAAGTTGAGATAATGTCTCGGCAATATGATTATCTGGCTCCGCTGATCTCGTCCCTTTGGTTTTTCCTTTCTTCTCCTGAATACTAGCGTGAAATCCAGAATCTATTGCTTCTTCCAAGAACTTCAAAAACCAGCTTCTTGTTTCTTGTTTCACAGTGTTTCTCAGTTCTTTTATCTCTTCTGTACCATTTCCCTTGACCCATTCTAGCTTTTCGGCTTCAGTTAGAGTCTTTGAAGACTTGGTTTTGGTTCTGCTTGAAATTAGACTAGCTTTTTTGCCCAACTTTTCAGGCTCTGTCCGTAATGAATGAACATTCACCAGCTGGAATGATATATCTTTGGGTGATGCAGCTGTGACATGTGCTTGGTCAAGGAGGCTCTGAAGAGTGAAGAAGTTTCTGAGAGAGGTATGTGGATTCTTTGGTGAAGCATTTGAGCTGAGGTCAGCAAACATACTGCAAAATCATTGTGCCTTTGATAAGGAATAGTATTGTATCCAATTTATAAGTGAGCAGGTTTGGTTTCAAAGGTATTACTTACCTGATACACTTGATAAGATGTGAAGCAGCCAATGCCTCTCTTTGTGCTTCTGTGGCAAGAAGAGCAGCAATGTTTCTCCTTCTCAGCATTCCCTTTGGATGTAAGAAACTATCAGCGATGAGCAGCTCATTGGGGAGAGATTTGGATAACAAGAGGAGAGATACAGAGAGCATATAAAGCGTACTTTACCCATTTTTGATAGATTGAGAGGCAGAGAGCTCCATGATGCATCCTCAGAAGGATTACTCTTCCTGCTCTTGTAATTCACAGTGGAGCTCAAAGATAGTTTCTTTGGCTCTGCCTTTGTTGGAGCTGTCGCAGGCCGAGGTTGTGGAGGACCAGCTTGACTTGCCTGTGCACATACATATATGTTACTTGCAGATAAAACAATAATCTTAGGGATTCTTAAGACCTGTGTGACTTTATCAGAAGAGCACTAACCTGATCTTTGTGCTCCCTTTGCTTTCCCTTAGCCAATCCACCAACTTTCTTAATCAATCCAGTCTCAGTCTCATTGTTGCTACCGCCACTACTCGAGTCTGATCCACTTGCCTTTGGATTTAAAACACCTTTCATATATCTTGAAGCCACACCTGTCTTCTCTTCCTTAATTACAAAATCTTGATGTTTTCTTACATTCTCTACCAGGTTTGATCTAGCACCATCTCTCTGCTATATAATTTTTATTAGAGGACAGATCTCTTATTAACGTAAAAGCTCAAGATCTGAAACATCGTGACATCACCTTCTTCTGTTTGTGATTATCTTCTTCCAGAGGTGTTGTCTCATTGGGCACCAACATTTGCATCAAATCTTTGGGATTTCCTACAAAAGGATGGCGTCCAGAGATTGGTCTAACTCCAACCATTACAGGAACAGGTGTCCCAGCTTCAAGCTTATCAACGTAGAAGAACTGTCCCAATCCTAATTTGTTGTTCAAGATAAGTTCGTTGTCTTCGTTCTTCAATGAGACATATGTGGAGTGAGAAGAATCTGAGACTTTGATGAAAAAGCCTTGGTTTGGCCAAAGCTCTGAGCCGGCTAAAGCAGGGACAATGCTGATCACCTGCAAGAGAACAGACCGATATTCTCCTCGAACCTTGATGTTGGTGTCCATTGTCTGGAGAAGCTTGATTAACACTCTAGGCGTAAGAGAAGCCATTTCTTGGAAAAATGAACAGTGTAAGGTTGAAATTTACAGCAGAGGAAATAAAGAAAGGTTTATGCTTTTGGTTTTGGGTTGGATCCTTTGTTCCTTGATGATGGAGCATCTTCTTTAACGCATGGCAGGTAAGTAACATCATCAAATCTCACTTGACTTTGAAGTCATGTGATCATGTTAGGCTAATGAGGACTTCTTGTCCCAAATTTACTGGGTGAATGACTAATCTACCCTTGATGGAGTATAGAGGGATGAGTTTAGGGAGGAGGGGCTTCTTGGGGATTGCGTATTGGGTTTCATCGACTTTGATCTCACGTCACTTTCCGAGGAAGATGGAGAAAGGTTTTGGGGAAGGTGAGTATACCTTCCTTGCCCCACTTTTACGTGTTGATCACAAAATCAAGATTTACTATCCAAGAAAATGTAAGTGCTTTTTTTTCTTCTTTTGAAGCGATCGCATGTTACATTACAACGAAACTCAGTTGCTATCGTAAAGCATTCACCTTGTTAGCAACTTTGTTACTTAAAAAGAATCTTAAATTCCAAAGTTCTGTATTTTTTTCTTTTTAGGGTTTATTGATTGTTTGATAATGGAGGAATTAGAATGAACATTACCAATGGTAAATGAACAATGCCATCCTTTTTTTGTTTGTACTACCAAAAATCAAATCGATATCAAACCGATAAGGACATGTTTTCAGGTTTGATACAATTTACAAATGTAGGCTAGAAACCACTATCAGAAAGTATACAACAGATTATCAAAGACAACAGAAACTATTCTCAATGATACATTGACCCGGAAACAAAACAGCACGTAATATCTCAGACCATTTATCCCTGTGTTTGTGATCTTTTACCTTTCATTCGCTTGGATCCTGACTTCTTTTGTGATTTTGGTTTCTAATCATTTCCCTTTGCTACGAAAATTGGAGAGTGAAAAGAATGACCTTGGTTCTGCATTTAACATAAAGCTTATGAGTTAGTTGTATGATACAACTTGTATCTACCAAAGAACACAAAATTCATCATCACCTTTTACAGAAGTTCCTGACGTCTGATCCTCCTTCAGTTTAAAGCTCAATGGTACGTTAGTGGTTTGAGCTGAAATAAGGTTACACAAAACTAGATCAGCCTCCATGACTCTTTAGTTTTCTTTATGTATACAAAAAATAAGGCAATGTAAGGTTGTTACCTTGTTCACTGAAAAGCTCACTCTCGTTGAAGCTATCATCAGACGGATGGGTCTGTAAAAACCCCATCCTCGACTTTCTCAAGTCTTCTGACGATCGATTTGCAAGATCTCGTCCATCTTCAGTGTCATCATCTCCTTCAGAGGTTGTTGCAGAGATCCAGTCAGCCAAATTCTCAGCCGCACGGTTCTTCCTTCCAAAATTCAAGAGCCTTTTCAAACCTTTTGTCACATCCTGTTGGTTTTGTGATGGATTACCAGCAGTGACGCGTTTCTGAGCAGCTCCCCATTTCTTTCTCATCTGAGCTGTATCGTTCTCTGTATGGTTAAGTGAAGATAGGTTCCAGAAAGCAGGACTGCCCACTGGAGAGTCCACTGAAGCATCAAGTTCTGATGCCTCGTTTGGATACTGATGATGCTTCACTCGTGAGTTCCATGTCACAGGGCTTTCCCCTGGCGAATCAAGAAATGAGCCGATGGTTTGATGCCTTGAAGCCATAGCATTAGGTATTTCAGCATTTGAACCAGTGTCAAGCTGAGAGATAGATTCACCATTTGCAACCCCGGTGCTACTCCATTCTTCAAACTCCTGACTGAGTCTTGGCTTCTCGTTCTCCGCATCAGTAAAAGCTTCCACTTCAGTGTCATCAAGCACCTCTTTTTCCATTTCGTCTGATGCATCAGATCCTTCTGAAGCCTTTAGCTGCGCATTGTCAGGGCTGATATCCATTCCAAGACTCATAACATTCCTCCCGCTTTGACCTTGCTCAATATTCAAAGGTACAGAGAAGTCTGCCAGCTCAGCAGCTTCAGCAGCTCCTTTTCTGAAATTCGTAGGCCTTCGAAGCTTCTCTTCTTCAGTAACGGTCTTTGGGCGGACAGAGCTTCTCACCTGCGAGCGGACACCGTTTTTCCCAACTCCCGAGGCTGGTTTCATGGCTTCCTTCTTGATATCGGAGAAGTTAGGGACTGACTGTGCAAGAAGTTTGTCTGATTGTCCTCTCCGCCTAACAGCACTAGGTGCAGAAGCTTTGGCTGCTGAGCGTGAAGCTGATGTAGCAGTGGTTCGAGGAGTCAAGAAATTGTTTTTGTGTTGTTGTAGCTTCTTACTCTGTGTGCTCCTGGAAACATCCTCATCTTCTTCACTTTGAAATGAGCTAATTGGATGCTGCAAAGTCATTAACATTCTTAAACTTATTAGAAAACCAAAGATAATATTAGCTACCACAGATAGAAGAAAAGGGATGTATGTATACCTGATCCTTTTTAGCACTCAGCCTAGAATTGAAGTACACAAGCTTCTCTGCACGTCGAGCATTTGAATCAAGTCTCGAAGCAGACTGAGAAAATTTGGTTCTCATCTCAGCATTACTACGCTCAAGTGTATCTTGCATCACCTTCAGTTTGGCTTCTTTCTCGGTCCTTTTACAACTCCAGTCTTCCTTCAGCTTCGCGTCTCTTTTCTGCATATATTTCTCATAGAACTTTCCTCTGGAATGATCTGAAAAGTTGATTTCTGGAAATGTTTGCCTCGTGGTGTCGGTATACTCATTGTTAACAACCACCTTCCTTGTTGGCGGAGTTTTGAACTTGTCTTCATCGTTTGAGCTTAAAGTTGGCATTGCTGGAGTCTTCTGATCAGAAACTTGTGCAGGAGATGGATCCTGTGGTACAGATCTTCTGAGCTGTGAAGGCGCAGCCTGTTCACTTGGCTTCCCAGGCTTACCTCTACGGACAGAACTTGACTGATCCCCTGGCACACGAAGCATGTGTTCAGCGAATAGCTTTTCAAGCTCGTTTGCTTTCACTTTCAATTCATCATTCAGCTCTTGACTTCCTTTCGACGCTCTTGCCCTTTGGACTTGCTCTGACGTCGACATTTGAGTCGGAGTATCACTCTCGGAGATATCTAAAACACTGTTAATGGCTGAAGGTGGCTTTTTGTTTGCATCCGCAGAACCAATCTCAGTCCTTCTACCCAGCGGCCTCTTCATCTGCTCAGAACCTAAAAGAAGATTGGTAGCAAGAAAATAATCAGTAGATGATTGCTAGATTTTTCCCCTTTGTCGAAGTCAAGATATTAAGAATATAAAGGGAAAAAAAAAAGAGGTACGTAATCACATTGAGAATTAGTCCTTCTCCTAATCTCAGACACAATAGTTAAATAATGAAAAGATACTTCTACGGTCATGATCATTTCAAGCAGTAGAACACAGGTAAGCAAAGACGAAATCATAGACGTAGCATACAAAAGATTGAGAAAGGCATGGTTCTTTGATATTCCGGTTGATAAGAAACTATAAATTAACTCCCACTCATGAAATATCTCGATATAAGAGCATGCATATAAACGAAAGACCAACACATTTTTACTATTATATCTTCCATTACTAACCTCCATAAACCGCTGTTTTTCTCTGGCGATCCTCAACTGGTGGTGATTGCCTCTCTGACGGTTCTTTTCTAGGAGATTCCGCAGTTCCTCCGTTGCTGCGAACACTTGTGATATCAGATTCAGTACCACCTAACTGCTGTAACGTAGACAATGAATGACTCCGAGGATCCCTAAACTGCATACGGTTCTGCCTGTTTGTTTCAAAATCTCCCATTTTGTTGCCGGACTCATCATCCATATTAGCCTTCTCTGAGTGATCCAAAGTGCCACTGGAATTCTTCTCCAACGAACCATCCTGAGGATTTCCTTGATGTCCCACTTGATTATCCGTGCTCGTTGGAACCTTTAAGTCTACCTCCTTGTCTCTTCGTAAGAAAGCGGAACTTGGATTCTGAGACTCACCTTCGTCCTCATTCCTATGAGAATTCTCAGATTGACTCGATCCATTCTGTTCTTTTATATTGACGCCAGCAAATTGTTTCGAAGATATACCGCTTCCATCTTTGTTCACTGATGATGGCGAGGGAGTGCACAATGGACTATCACCAGTACCATCCTTCCTATCATTTCCCAAATCAATGCTCATGTCACTAGCACCACTCCATCTTCGTACCACAACCTTTTCCATGCCTGCAGAAGAAGATAAATCAGAAGAGAGTCTTTTCAGCTCAGTGGATTTCCCCACAGCTGCTTTCCCTCCAGAGTTTTCTTTCTGCTTGTTTTCAAATAGGTTGATCCTCTCCTGCACACTAAGCCGTCTCGTGAGTTGCCTAGACTGACTTGCTACTGGCTCATTTTGCAAAGGACTTTTTTCCTCTTCTTCATCCTTTTCATCAAGCTTTGATTCTTGTTGATTGTTTGCTGTTGCCCTCTGCTCTTCCATACCAGGTTGATGTTCCCTATGTTGTTGGGTTTTGTTAGTCGCTAGGTTTCTAGATGGATCTTCACTGGGATCATCATCAATTGACATATCAGATTCCCAGGAAGAACGTATAGCTTCTTCTTCCTGGTTGAACCTCCAAGAGCTCATAAGCTCTGGCCTTTTCTGGCAAAGTGCGATAAACTTGGCACATGCTTCACTGCAACAAGTATAGCAGACCGAGCATGATCAGAGTATAGATAACTTACATGATCAAAAAAATGTGGAACTCTGTGAATTAGAAAAGCCTATTCTAAATAGTGAGACAAAAAGGAGATGGACTAAAAAAGTGAGATAATTCATATATAATCATCTTCAGCCACCTAATAGCAGTTCTCAAGTCACCATCAGACCAAACCTACCTAAATTAGAGCATGATGGGTTTCTGTTTATGGAAAAGAATATGCATCAAAGCCACATCAAACATATAGGCGATTATATAAATATGTGGTTAAGGTGATCATAACATTAAACAAGTACTATTTAAACCCTTTTAGTATCACAACAGTCCAAAATTTAAAAGAGGGATCACCGGCAGAGGGTAATAAACCTAGAACCTTGGTTGTATGGTCTACCTAACAAGAACATGCTAGCAAGTAAGTTTACAAAATTTGATAGCTGCAACTTTGAAAGCTACTCAATTTAAACCCAGATAAACCACACAAGGCTAAGTATTTGAAAATGTCCTGTCTTCTTGTGTGTAATAAGGGGTCCAATAATTGCTTACACAAAGACAAGAAAGAACAGACATATAATATAGAGGATCTGGCGTAAGGGATGTCTTCACACTTACTTCAAGCGGTTGGCCCCAAACTGATCAGCAAATTGACTAAGTTCGGAGACAGTGACAGGGTTGAAACCGGCAGCCAATGCACGGTTACAAGCAGTTGATAAGTCCTGTTTAACTGCTGCAAGCCGTAAATCAATAGCTCTCAGTAGCTCCTTCCTAGAAAGGTCCAAACTGAGAAAGATTCAGTGTTGCGCAACTTTGCAAGATTAAGCAGAGCACATATTGATAGATAATTTGGCTAATTATTCAAAATCTAGCAAAGGTAAATAAAGGTCGAGACTTTACTTTGTCACATCAGCTGCTGGTGTAGTTTCTGTGCCATCTGCACCACATAAAGTTTAGCCAGATTATGAGCAAGAAAGAAACGACTAACAAGTGACTGAATATAACTGATGGACCTTTGGGGATTAATAGAAAACGATATAATGACTTTAGCTTCTAAATGTCCCTCTGCCATTCATAAGCTAGTCTATACAACATACGTTTCTATCATCCATGAATGACTTTAATCCATTAATCGTCACCGTAACAGACTCCTTAGACCCAATGCACAGTTTATCATGGAAACAGAATTTATAATTAGAAGACAGGTTAACCGTACGCATACCTTTTGCATTAGATCTCTGATCACCAGTCCCCTAAACCAAGATATTATCAAAATCAATAAATGCATTCCAATCAACACAGCATTGACTTGATCTAAAAAGAGGTAAAGTACCTCGCCATATATTGTTCGGGCAGCTTCCAACTGAGCCATCTCCCCATCCAATGCACTTACCAATTCTAGAACCTCTGGGGTACTAACAAAGCGTACAAACCTATAAACCAGCAGAAACAACAAAGCCGGTGAGTTAAAAGCATAAGCTCTGCGTCAACAAGACTTGAATATCTCTTGGCTCAAAACTGAAATATAACCTCTCGAGTGTCCCTTTCGAAAACCAAGTCCCAGCATTTTTGTTGCTTTCAACTTGTAGCCTGATAGTCTGAACTTCCTGAGCAACCTGCTCCTCTGCAACTTTCAAATGAGCAACAAATGGTTTCACCAGTCCGGATGCGAGTTTCTCCGTATTCCCCGCAGTCGACACAAACAACTCACATCTGCCAGAAAGACGACTATTACTAACATTGACAAACTAACCACAAGAAGAAGAATTACTCTCTAAAATCACTACCTTGACCGCTTTGGAGAAAGTTGGAAGACAGCATAGTCAAGAGGTATAGCTGGTCTCATCTTCTCCTCTTTTCACAAAATCTTCACTTTTCCACCGTCAAATACCCAAACAAAGACACAGTATCATAAAGCTTTGGAATTCACAGATCAAAAGGAATCTGAGTAAAGAGCAAAACAAAACCCATCTCTAGAAACGTAAATGCTATAGGAATCCGAAGCGGCAGAAGAAGAAAATCAAAGAGAAACGAATCCAAATTGGAAATTCGAACAAAAGAAGTATCAGTGAATACATAACCAAAAGCAAATATCCATTTTTGGATACAACTAAGGCCACATCACAATAATAGAAACCCCAAAGTTCTTTAAAATACAGAGTCAAGCGCATTGCTAGATCTGGTTCCGATCATAAAAAAGAATTCAAATCCAGTCAATCAAGGAAAGTGAGGTACGCGGATTTAAGGCGAATCCAGGAAGAGGAGGATTCGAATTCGAATTCAAATTCAAATTCAGGGGCAAAGTAAAATCCCACATCGAAAAGAGGAAAGAAAAAACGCCATTGCAATCAGAAGGGCTCAGAAATTCAAGTGAAGTCGTACTCGGATCGGTCATAGCAGAGCTTACCTGTGAGTAGAAACGATTGAGATCTTTGTCTGTTTCCGATGAATCGGCGGTCTCTTTCAGATTCACATTCGAATAGGTACTAGTACCATTGTCGAGTCTCTTTCTCTGCTGACTATTCAATTTATTCTTCTCAAAGTTTCTTAAAACCCTAACAATGGCGATTGCTTTTTGTTTTCTGGGCTTCACTTGAAACTCAACTCAATTTGTTATTCTATTTACTTCCTTGTGTGCTGGTTGGTGGATTCGATTTCTCTCCCATTGTCTCTTCTTCCGCCGAAAACTCTCTTTGTCAAAACTACTTTAGAGAGAGAAAGTGAAATCAAGAGAGAGAAAACGCTCTTCAGACAGAAATCAGTAAAATCACCATTTTTGTTGACGTGAAGTAGCGTATACGTGAGAAAAAAAAGAGAGTATTAGAGCGTAAATTTGAAAATTTAAATCAAAAATAAATGAAAGTCGGCAGTAAATTGTGAAATTCCGGAAATAGGGTTCGTCTAATCCAAACGGCTTTCTCTATTACCCATTTTAGCCTACATCCTTGGAATGTTTTTTCACATTCTCCAAAATTAATTTTGTTTTCTATAGTGCTTTTAAGAGGTGATAAATGCTTTCCATGCATATATCATCATAAAAATCACATTTGAATGAAAATTGGATTAAAAAGGTAAATACTCAAATAACCACTTTAGCATTGTTTGAAATATATATTTCGTACAAACAGAGGGGTAAATTCGTCTGAGATGAAATTATTGAATCTCTTAACTGGCCTTGCAAAGGGTATCTCAGTACTTTGCTTTCAGATCCAAATATATAACGTTGTGAATTAAGTAACAGCACAACAATTCGGTCATCGGTGTTTCAAAAAGTAAAAAAAAAAACTGCGTGTGTATTATATTGTTTCAAAGAAAATACTACATAGATGTTGACAAAAATAAATACTAAATTACTGATTCCACTCTGCTCAAAATTAATAATTTAACACCAACCATTTTTATTCCAACTTTTGGAAACGCTTTAAAACAAATGATGGAGCCCATGAAAAAGGCTGGAAAAATATCTAAACTATAGGATATCACTTTATATTCTCTTCTTTAATTTAAATGGAGAATTGGCCCTAACAATCTAATGGAGACATGGCTTTATATCCTACCGAATTCTTAAATTCCAATGTTTCTTTCTTTTTTGGTATCTTCTCTTTCCCTGTTTAAAAATAAGAATACCTTTTGCAACACAGTTTTATTTTGCTAGTATTTCCTTTGTAAAGAACATTGGTTTAAAAATAATACTCTCAAACTTTCAAATATTAGTATTCTAAGGCCAAGATGTTTCACTTTTCAAGAAGTTTTTCAATTATTGTATTTGTCACAACTCACAAAGACGTTAAATGTAATGCAAGTTTGAATGATTTTCACGGTGGGACTAAAGAATGATGTTATTTTACTCAAATATATCAGGAAACAAGAAAACAATTTGGGATAAACATCCATGTGATACAATTCTAAAATTTTAAGTGATTGCCAAGCTGTTTAGTATCTAAAAACGCCAAAACGGAATCATCATAAAGAATTAAACAAAACAAACAAAAACTTTTTTTTTGCCTAACATTCTACTTTTATAGGTGGTTGATGATGTTTCAGGTAAAAGAAAATCTAGCTAAAAGTAAAACATATCTTATTATATAAAACTGGATGCGCGCGACGTGGTTGCGACACGTAGGATTTTTATAAAATATAGGATCGCGACATGTGTCACTTTTAAGATTATGTCCGTTAAGATCGTGACACGTGTTTTAGGGGAAAAAAGAATTTGTTTTTTTTTAAATACTAGAAATAGGATAATTAAAAAACGAAATTTAATTTAAAAAAAAAACGAAATTTAATCTATTTTATTCGAAAAAGGTTTTCCCATTCATCAAATTAATATTATCCAAACACATATCTTATTATAAAATAAGATTGAAAATAATGTAATAAATAAAATCCTATTACTACATGGAATAGGTACGTAAACTAAAATTCCTATATCTGCAAGGAATATGTTATATGAACACCTATAAATACAAAGTTACAGTAGTCTCTTTTTTCTCATTTACAAACTCATTAAAGCAAATTCATCAAATTTCTCTGATTCTCTTTCTCTAATTTAAAAATCATGTCTTTGAAATGTTCAAGAAAATAGTGAAGATTATTTGACTCTAGCTCAATTGGATCGAAATCGAAATTATCACCGTACTATAGTACGTGTTATTCGAAAGTGGAAAGTTAGAAATCCAAAAGAAAATAATATTCTTAGAACATGTTTATTCTTGTTACTTATACCGTCTCTTAGCATTTTTGGCTATTTAAATTAAATCATAAATGTCCTATTAATCATAAAACGTCTCTAATATAAGAGAGTTTTGAAATTAATAAGGGACGTTTGTTGTTGACAGGTGGCGATGCGTGATTGGACCGAGAGAGTTGGAGTCAAAAAATTTTTTCCCTTTTCCTCATTTTTCTCTTTTCACCTCTCTCTTTCCTCTGCGTCTTTGAAGCGATTCGGCGGAGACAATGGACAATGAAGACGAGATCTGGTGCTGTACTCGGAGACAATGGAGAGAAGAGGAAAGCTCCCGATGGAGACGAAAATGGCAGAGTGAAGAGAAGACTGGTGCAGAGAAACGAGCAAAAGAGCGAGAGACGGAAATGGTCGAGGGAAGAGAAAACTGGTTCAGAGCAACGAACAGGGGAAGGGGAAGATCCTCAGGGGAATCCGTCGCTGTGTATCTCCTCGGTGCTCTGCTTATACTTACCGCTCCAGATTCTCGTGGTATTTTCTTCCTCTCTAGACTAAACGCAGTTTCTGTCTGATGAACGAAATTGATCTGGTCACGAATTGTTTGCTATGCGAGTTTGGGCTGAGCTCCAATTTGATTTCGAAATGGTTATTAGGCGTTTAATCTTACTGTATTAGATGGGTCTAGGATTTAGAACTCGATCAATCATCTCCGTTTTTCTTTGGTTCTCTCTCTCCGTTTTTAGTCTTTTTTTTTAGCTTGTCATATCATTGAATTGCGGTTTGCAATTCTGTGTAGTGTGCTTATTTTGATTGGTCGGATCTTGAGAGTGCTATTGCTGGGGACCGATGATGTGGAGGAGCATTGCTAGGTTCTCTAAGACGGCGGCAGCGGCAAGAACCGGCGGATCTCGGCGCTGCTTGTCGACGACGATTCCTGGTCCTTGCATCGTCCACAAACGTGGTGCTGATATTCTTCACGATCCATGGTTTAATAAGGTTGTGTATTCTATCAACTTTTTTTTGATCGATCCTCTGAATTTTGAGGGTTCTCAATGATTCATTTGATTAAAGTCATAATGCTACTGATCGTTGAATGAAAACTCAGCGAGGAGACTAATTATGCTCTGAGACTAAAGTTTGTTCTTGTGGTATTTGCAGGACACTGGTTTTCCTCTGACCGAGAGAGATAGATTGGGGGCTACGAGGCTTGCTTCCTCCTCGTGTCATCTCCTTCGAACAGCAATATGACCGTTTCAGTAAGTTATTGAGACCTTTGGATCCATTTGCAAAATGATATGATTATGTCTTTCTGGGATTCTGAGAGACTTTTGGTATATGACTCAAAGTGGCAGTTGAGTCATTTCAATCCCTAGAGAGGAACACGCTAGGCCAACCAGAAAACGTTGTGTCCTTAGCAAAATGGAGGATTCTCAATAGACTGCATGACCGTAACGAGACTTTGTACTACCGAGTGAGTTTGGCTCTGCCACTTGTGTTCAAATTGTCCTTTTTTCGTATTACACAACCCCTGAGGCATAACCACTCTTGTTCTCTGCAGTCTAATTTATGTACTCTACGTTTAACCCGTTGTTCTTTTTTGGCTCCTGGAGATTGCTAGGAACACCAACTGATCAGCAATGGCCAGGTGTAATGACTATGATTATGCGTGACTGGCATGTGTATCCAAAGTGGGTGCCGTAAGACTTATCACGAGCTGTTCCATCTCTCTCCCCTGAAGGAGTTGATCTTCTCACGGTATGCTCTTCAGGACTAAACTATGAACATTGTTGGACATGACAAGTGGTCTATTATTATCTTGCATACTTGATCTCTTTTGTAGCTTTAAAAGTTCTGTTTGTTTTTTTAGGTTCTTTTATAGTTGATGACTGTTTGTTTTGAGTGGGGTTTAAAGTTTGAACCTTTGAACAAAATGCAGAAAATGCTGAAGTACAATCCAGCTGAAAGAATTTCAGCAAAAACAGCTCTCGACCATCCCTACTTTGATAGCCTTGACAAGTCTCACTTCTAAAGCTGCACTGTCTGGCCAAAACTCCCTCATCACGGCAAATTGCAATCTTGTATTTGAAGTTTGGAAACTGATTGCTATCATCATCTTGTTGATTTTAGCATTACAATCTTTATTTCCACATTAGAGTGTCTCATGTATTGTGTTTAGAAATTTGTACTTTTACAGAAGAAACCTGAAAAAGCTTTTTTGTCCAATTGAAAAAAGAGAATGCAATGTGTTTATCAAAAGTGTTTTTTTCTGTGGGGCAGTTTTGTTTGTTGATATAAACAAATTTCATGAAATCACTAGTAAGTTACAAATCAAATTACACACAATTTAAGAAGAAAAAGAAAAATGCAAGAGTGAAAAGTTAAGAACACTTTTGTGACCAAAAAAAAAAAAAAAAAGAAAAAGAAGCTAAGAGACATTTTGGAGTTTCACCAATAATTGATAACAAAACAGATGTCTCTTAACCATATCTCTTAACCTAAATTAATTGTTATAATAGAGCTAAGAGACATTTTGGGGTTTCACCAATAAACATGTTTTTATGGGAGTTGAGCTTCTACTACTTGATGAAAAAGTTAGTAAGAAAATATATAATTTACAATAAATTGTTACATCCATTAAGAAACGGAAAAAAACATATTCCCAATACAAGAAGGAAAAAAACAATATATAATAAGTTACACCCTTCATGATTTAATTGTGTTGTTTAAATTTTCTTTCTTATTAAGAAATGAAAAATCATGTCTTTAAAAGTTCTAGATATCAATGAAGAATATTTAATTTTAGATCAGTTGGATCAAAATCAAAACTACTGCCGCACCATGTATAATATTTGATCAGATTATAACATGTGTTAAACAAGAAAATTAGAAAAAATTAATAACAAAACGAAAAATTGTAAAACAACTAACTAATAATGAAAAGAAAAATTTATAATGGTCCGAGGCAAAATAAATATTATAAAAGAAAGAATATAAATAGAAAGCTAACAAAATAATTATCAACAGCTAACTAATATTAAAAAGAAATTTTATTTTGGTCCGATATTCTAATTTTAAATAGTTTATTTTCAAATTTTTGTTAGGTCAAAAAATATTTAAAAAATTGATTTCATCAACTGAAATCTCTTCGATGGAATAATCAAAGTTTCACGTATTAATTAGTCCATCAGATTTAAACACATGTAAGTATTTCTATATTAGATAAAAATAAGATAACACAAATTAATTCATTTTTCGTATCATGAATTCAAAACAAATGTCAATTATAATAAAAATGTAAAAAGATTACTAATCTTATTTTATTTAGTGATTTGTTATCGGGTTTTTATTATTATTCTATTACTTTTAAAAATGATTATATTATGTTTAATAATTTTCCAGGATTTATTTCAAAAAATTTATAATAAACCAGCGTATACGGGGCCTAATCTAGTATTATTATAAAAATAAAGAGTTAATATGTCCTTTAGGTACACATGCAAATCTTCGATGTCATAATAACCAAACATAACATTAAAGTGCGGCTGGATAGTATCAAGAATGTCTATGCCATGTTCTAACTAGTGTCAGCTCACTGAACACGCAATCTAACTCGAGAGATTTCAGAGAACTTTTAAGAACCTGCACAAGACAATATCTACAGATGATTCCCAACTCAATGTGTCAGAGGAGCCTGAAGAAAGTTATGCAGGATGATTTCAGGACTTTGCAGTGAAGTTAAAAATCTGTTCCATATGATCAAAGTTGACAAAGACTGGAAAAATAATAATACACTCATGAAGCCTAGATAAGTTCCTCTTTCAACAAATTTAAACTCAAAATCTAAAAATATGTAGATTACGACCCCCAATCACTAAACTCTAGTTACCCACATCGCTGTTGCTGTTGTTGACAATCGCATTGATGTTGTTGTTGTTGTTGTTCTTGCAGCTGTGATGATCATTACTACTGTTTCCGATTCTCCTTCCATGTTGCTTAAGCTGTGATATCTCAAGTTGGGTCTTCACAAAGAACTGCATTCTCTGCAACTCAAGCTCCTTCGAGAACTTCATCCTCTCTTTCTCCATATCAACCACCTGTTGTAGTTTCGCATTCTCTGTCTGCTCGTAAGCTTCGCCGAATTTCATGATTGCACGAGTCAGCTCCCTCCACTTGTTTCCTCCTCCATCACCACCTTCTTGCTTCTTCTTCTCCTCCGTCTTCACCCTCTTCGACAAAGGAGGAGGCGGTAAACTGTCGCCGGAATCATCTGACATCGCTGGTTCTGATTCCGAGTCTGAATAAGAGGCGTTTCTCTTCTTGAAACGGTAGCGTTTAGATTCGCTGCACGTTTTCACTATCATCCCTTGATGCTGTTGCTGTGGCAGCGTCCTCCCTTGCTGACCAAACGGATTTGAACGGCTGCTCATCGGAATTCCCATTGGTACATTGACCGATCCTCCTCCTCCTCCTCTGCTTCCTCCTCCGCCACTGCCGCCGATCGAAGCGGCTGAGACCCTAGCTGTGGCTCCAATTAGGCGGTCAAGATTATGAAACGGTGGCGTTGCAGCCTTCGCTTGCTGATGGTACGGATTCGAACGACTGCTCATCGGAATACCCATAGGAATCTTATGCAATCCTCCTCCAGGATTTCCACCACCGCTGATACCAGGAGGAGATGCCGTCGGGATCTTGGCCGTTGATCCAATCAGACGGTCGAGCTTGTCGAAGAATACCCATCTGCTACGGCCACCGCCGTTGGCGATTCTCAGCTTTTCTTGCTTGTACTTCTTCTTCACCGTATCGATCCTGTTCTTACACTGTATATCGGTTTTCGGGATTTTCCGGTAATCCTCCTCTCTGCTGCTCACGATCTCAGCCACTTCTTTCCAGTGCTTCTGTTTCAGATTCCCTCTGCTGAGCTCCAAGTATCTCTCCCCCCACGCATCAATCAGCACAGCCGTGGCCTCTTCGCTCCAGCAATCCTCCCTCCCGCCGCCGCCGCCGCTTGGTCTACCGTTGCTGCTACTGCCTCCGGCACCGCCGCTGGAATGAATCGGGAGCAGCGCCAGAGCCAACGCGTCCGGATCCTTCTGGTGAGACGAAGAAGCCGGAGGTGTCCGAGAATAAGAAGGCGGACCAGCGGAAGCCACCGTTACCGTGATTCGTCCCGCCGGCGGGGAAGAAGACGGATCAGGTGAATCGGAACCCATCGGCGAGGCGTGCGGCGATCGGATCTCCTCTTCGTCTTCCATGAATTTGATTCCGCCGGATCTCGTCAGAATGTCGTGAAAGGAGATAGGGTTAGGGTTTGGCTTAATATTCTGTTCGGGGGTGGGGGTAACGGAAAGGAGACGTCGTCGGTGAGTAGGGGGACACGTGGAAGAACCTGAGACGATACGGGAAGTCGACGTGTGAGGACGTGATTGGTAGGTCAGAGTTAGATTCCGTCACCGGTAAAGTTGCCGGCTCGGTTTAGGGGTAAAAGGTCGGGTTTCTCTCGTAATTTCCCATTCATCATAATCCGATGAGGATGCAAAATGACGGGAAAGGCCATCGACTTCTCTATAATTACCGGGAATATCCCCGTACCTCTCCACAACCATTTTTCCGATGATGTACCGAAATTACCCTTAGCCTAACCGCCAGTCTCAATATCGGTCGTTAACTTTTGTCCGTCGATTGTTTCCAGTTGTCTTCCTTCTTGCTTTGCTTCATAACTTATTCATCCATTCCATAAATCGTGATTACTTTCTTTAAAAATAAACTTAGTATAAATTTAAGAACGATGGCGTGGGTGCGATTACTATGGGCTTTATATTGTAATTGGTTTAATATTGGGCTTTAAAACAGATTTATCCATTAGGGTAACAAACCTACATATAAATAACACTTGCTTCTTCTTGCATCGTGTTATGTCAGGAGAAAAAGTATCACAGTATGCTATTGTTAAATATGTTCTCACAACATTTTCTCTTACCATTGTTACAGTGGATATACGGTCGCTAGAAAGATTAAAAGAGTAAAAATATAACTACGTTTCAAAGAACTTTTATCATCTTTGAAGGTAGCGAAATACATAAAAATAATCTCAGGATACCAAACATATATTCTAAAAAGAGACCATGCATTAGAATACTCATGTATGATGCATATCCATTATAGATTACTTACAGGTTATATTTTATACGTATATACATAAAAAGGGAGTAGTCAGATCGAATACTCTCATCCCTTTTTATCTGTTTTAGCGATCCAACGCGTTTAGCACAATCCTGCAATATTACGAACGTTAAAGATGTATATAGTACCTTGAAAACATTAATTTAAACTAGTACAAAAAAAAAGATATATGAGAAGAAAAGGAGATTGAGATCAAACCAATCGCAAGCATTGAGACTTGTGGCATGCGTTTCACTTGGTCTTCCAGCTGCTGCATGCATATGATTACGACAATATTTAGTTTACAAATCGATAAACTTCAACCTTGTTTTTATATTTGTTCGTGTATATCATCACCCGCAATGGCTTTAACTGTTCATTTGTTCATAATACATAAACTCAAAGAGAAGGAGAAAGAAGAACAGTAACTTACGGGTCAAAGGAGAAGCTGGATTACTTGACCCGACAGGAGAATCCGGGACACGACCAGGATCCACCATCAACTTCAGCAGACCATTTATTGTGACATTATTGCCAGAAATATGTTTTCTCAACTTGCCAAGACCATTTTCCGGCGGTGGACCGGCTACCGTTTCATCCCATATATTGTGCAACAAGCTCATACCTCTATATATGATCGATCAAGTTTGAAATGAGTTTCTGTTAATTGTCTCCTATGTTTTTGTCTTCTTTACGAGGGGATTGTGGTTTTATATAAAGATCGGGAAACAGAAGCGTTGAATATATTTGGCTAATTATATAGATTTTACCTTAATTAAAACATCCAAAATTTAGGAGATTTATTCAAGGATGTTGATATTATTAAACATAGTTGACAAATCAAGCAGATAAGATGACAGCTTAGACAATGTACATAGGATGTTGCATATTTGACTTTTAATTTGACATAATCAATCTATTACTTAATTACATGACCCCGAAAATTACAAATTTAATCTTCTATTAATTTTAAACGTGATGAGCCTGGGCCAAGTGAGTACTGGGCCTGGGTTAAAATATATCGCAACGGCTCTTAACGGCTAGTAGATATTTTGTTCCCTCTATAAACTTATATTTTGGCCCTAATTTCGAGTTTCTTCTTTAATCGTCGCTCTAGAAAGTAAAGGAAAGAACAAATCTGAAAACTTACCGTTAAACAATCTCCAGAACAACGCTCTCGTTTCTTCTTAACACTTCGTCTCTCCCACAAGAATATCACCAAGAAACTACTCAATTTTACGAAGGTATTGTGATTCTTCCTTCTGATCTGGCCATTGTTTGTTATTCTTTCCGTTTGTCGCTATTTGCTTGGGTCGCGAATTCTGGGTTTCTGGGGATTATCGTGTTTTAATTTCTAGGAGAATCAAACTGGGATCTGGACTCGGAATTTTAGGGTTTTAACTGCTTGATTTGACGATTTCGGAATCAAATCCGCAAAACGTTTAATCTCGCTTCGACCTTGTTGATTCTTTTCCGCAGAGCCAATTCGATCCTTCGGAAATCCCCAATTTTGTTTCTAAGAGATTAACACAGCTTTTCTCTTGTGTAAACAGTTCAAAAACCAATGGCGAACATGAACGCTCTTCAGCCGATGATTTTCCCTGACGAGAACGCTCCGATTCATCGCAAAAGTAATTGTCCTTCTCTTCTCTACTACGATTTCTTCATAATCTGTTGAAGAATGCTTTGAAAACAAGATTTCTTATTCTCCTTTTTCTTCTTTCTTCGTTGCTATTGCAGAGTCTGTTACTGCTGCTTCGGTTAAAACCAAAGGATCAGTACTTGGCCAGAAGAAAGCTCTTGGTGGTGGACCGCGTAAGGCTCTGAACGATATCACGAACAAGTCCGGGGTCCAGCCAAAAGCTTCGTCGAAGAACAAGAAAGTCGCTGCCTCTGCTTCTGCTTCTGTTGCTGCGAAAGGTGAAATCAACATTGCTGGAGAAAGGTTCTTGCATGACCACAGCAAATGCATCAAAGAGCAGCAGAATCTCTGGGATGATCACTTCTCTGCTGATCTCATTCTCCTTCACCACGGTAAATAACAAACATCTTCTAAGCTCTTTGATGTTTAACCAATCTTTCGGAGGTTACACTTGTGTAAAGCTTGTTTCTTTTGTTTTGCAGATTCCAGCATCAATGAAAAGCATCTCACGCTTGACAAAGAAATGGTACTTTGCTTCGTTTTCATGTGTTATCTCTCTGATTCTTGAGCATATGAGAGATCAAATTTACATTTCCATGAATCAGAATATATAAATCTCTATTCTTGTTGTGGACTTGAATTGGTACTTCTTTGTGACTCTTTATGTGTTTTTTGGTTTCAGATGGATGCTAAGAAGAGTCTGATTTGCGACGAACCGGAAGAGATTCCATCGCCCAAGTTGACTGATTGGCTGAAGAGCTCAGCAACTCCATGGCGCTCCCCAAACCGCCATGGCTCTAAGATGATGATGCCTTCGACTCCTATGGCTTGGCGGTTCGATTCAGCTGAATTCACACTCAGAGAAGACTATGACGACCTCTTCTGAATTTCTGCTTCTTAATCAATGTCTAGTCTTTTCAAAAAGATTCATCCTTCAGATGAACAAGTAGTAGTAGCAGCGACTGTCTTTTGTGTAGCTCAACATTGTTTCAGCTCTTCATCATGTAATAATACTCTGTGTCCATCACTTTGTATCTGATTTCAGGAATTGTTAAAAAAGTTGGAATCTTGTCAAGATATGAGCATTCTCATTCACAGCCCTAACTCCCAAACATCTTGAGAAACTTATTTTTTTACGTTTACACACAACAAGCCATTGAGAAGATGCTTAAACTTTGTACATCTTTTCAAGTTCTTCTTTCAGTGACTTCCTCTTGAATGTTCCGTAACAAAATATAATATTACTATTAAAAAACTGCTGAGAGAATCAATGACTGCAAGAATTTAGGAGATGGATATGTGTTCGTCAACGTAAAACAGTTGATTTTCATCATTCTCAGTCAACGACTCTTGCTTAAGGAGAGACAACAATGCAGTGACATAGCAGAGAGAGAGAGAGAGATAAATAGAAAGAAAAAGGTACATTCTAAAGAACGAGGTGGCTAGTTTACAAAACGACAATGGTTTGAGTTTTGATGCATCGCCGTTGAGAGAAGACAAGAACCAGTGACTGACTAGTCGACAAATATGGAGATGAGTTGGCAAAAATATGGTCTGAAGCAGGCTACGAAGTGGGGACTCCATAGTTGCTGGACGAAGACGTTTGGGATTGAACATTGTTCTTCCTTCTGTTTCTTCTTCCTCCTCCATTGCTCTTCCCCTTCTTGAAATCCTGCTGATGTTCCACCTGCTTCACCACCAAGAAACCATCTCATCATCATGAACAACGCCATTTTCAGGAACCATTATAATCAAAAAAGGATTTAGGATGTTGTTTATATACCCCTAAAGAGAAGGAGTGAGCTCTGGGATCAAATCCGAAAGGGTTATCAATGTTAATCCCCATCGAACTCGTCTCAAACGACGACCTTGACCGCTGATCCTCCGTCTCAAACACAAAACTACAAGAGGAAGCTGTGAAACTTGAAGCGGAGCAAGGTGATGATGCGAATGCCGCAGCGTCTCCTTGAAACATCTCGTTGAACAGATCTTGCAGCTGCTCAAAACTGTCCCCTGTATTGTTCTCCTGCAAACCAACCAACATTACACACACACATCTCAGATGATGACATCACTCGGCGCAATCAATAAAAACTTGATGTCAAACTAATGGCAGGATATGCTTACACTAGGCTTTGATTGGTTCATCATTGTCGCCATTTCGTTCAAGAAATCTCCCATTCCCTGCAAAATCAACCAAACACGTTTCCATCACTACATGACTCATAGAAGGACAGAGAAGGCAAGTCATGCCACTCTCGTTCGTTGCCCTTTAAACACGATCAAGCAAAAGTGTATAAAAGTGAAAATCTTTTTGAGAAAGGAAATAAAAAGCTAGGGGCTTTACGTTTTGGTCATCATCGTCTCTATTATAAACTCCAACATCATACATGAACCTCTTGTTGGAGTCAGACAGAACTACAGAGAAAAAAGCTTTAATCAGAGACATTAATAAACAGAAGTACACAGAAATCAAGAGGATGTCTTTGTATCCCATTAATCAATTCCCATTTGTTCCATAAGATACTATAAAAAATTCATCTTTCAAGATGGTGGAAATTACCAGAGTAGGCCTCTTGGATGGTCTGAAATTTCTTCTTTGCTTCTTCTACAAACTCTGAATTCCCCATTGACGAACACCGATCTGGATGCCATCTCTGTATTTCCAAAATTGAAAATCCCAATCAGTTTTCAGTTCCAAAAATTCAAACTTTAACTAGAAAATTCTTTTGAACAAAAAAAAAAAAAAAACTAGAAAATTCTAATATCAGTTTCCAAATGTCAATCGACGTGATTCCAATCACACTTGATTTGATCCAGTTACCCAGAAAGCAATCACATAATCGATTGAACTAGAGATGTGAATCCAAATTTGAATCGACGATTAAACTAACAAACGAATCGATTTGGTATTACATGCAATTACTTATAAACCATGGAAACAGAATCATTCATTGTTCTGTTTATTCATGAACAAAAATCGAAATTGAAATCTCGGAAAAATAAGAAAACTCACAAGAGCAAGCTTCTTATAAGCAGTACGGAGTTCTGTATTCGTACATTCCTTCTTCAATCCCAGAACCGCATACAAATCATCGTTATTACTCGACGCCATATCTAACTTTCTTTCTATTCGAGGTACAAACCCAGAAATCTAAATCAGCAAATCAAAGAGAAACCGAGTAGGACAAACGTTTCGATTGTTTCCCGTACTGTCGACGAATTTCACCACAGAAAGAAGAAGAAGAAGAAGAAAAAAAAAACAGAGCAAGAGCCCAATCTAAAAATAGCAGGACTCTAAAGTGGTTCGATGGATTCGAACTACGTTCTTAAGAAGAACAAATACGGAGAGATTAGGGTTTTGATTAGTAAGTCAAATTAGGAATTCGGAGAGAAGAGGAAGAAAACGGGTTTTTGTGATTGGTTGCTCGACTCTCACCTAAATACGTTAAGGGAGGAATGGAAGTCTCCAGAACCTCTTACCACTTGTTAGATCTTTTGTACATTTCCTTTTTCTTTATTTTTTATTATTAAACAAATAATTATCTTCTTCGTCTTCTTCTCCGTTTGTCCGTAAAACTAATATCTGTGGAAAAATACGAAATATCTATTATTTTATGTATATCTTTCGGTACTGGCTTTTAGAATTTAAAACGATACTCCTATAAACATATGTGTCAATAGATGTGGTAATAACGTTAGTGTGAATTAAAATTACGTACAAGGTGAATCTTTTTATTTACTAATACAGTAGAGATTAGAGTAGAAAAATAAATTGTGAATATTTTTTGCGATTTCTTTTGTTGGTGAATAATAATTCAATCATATCTGTACAAAAATAGAGATGATGAGAGAGCGGCTGAGATTTCAGAGTTGTTGATATTTTTATATGAGTGGCTCTCCAGAAGGTTCGAATGAATGTGGTCTTTTCGAAAACTTCGCTAAACTAGTCAGTCGTCACCGTCAATTTTGTGAAGATGTGCCTTTTGGCTTTAAACGCGTTTTAATCAGCGGGCCCTACTTGTACTAAAATAGTTTAAGCCACTTTAGTTTGACCCCCTGTTTTGTCGGAAACTTCGAAACTGACCTCGTAGTGTATACTACTACTAAGCTAAAAAGAGATACCAACGCCTGACCTCGTTAGGAAATCTAAGAATGCATTTTTGTACTGTAATGCTCAATTAGGTTAGGTGTTTGTCTAGAGAAGATCTATAAAATATTTATATTTATATTACACAGAGAAGTGCAGGACATGAATATAGTGTGTCTCTCTCTTTACGTACATAGAGACAGAGAGTACACGTATCTTAGACAGATGGTCCAAAAGTATCGAGACTCGGGTTCTTTTTTTTTTTGGTTTTAGAGAATCGGCTTCTTCTAAACTCTCTCTACCTTTTTAACTCTGTCTGAGTCGCTGAAAAATCTATGGAAGAGTACTAAACAATCCTCTGTTTTATTGCGTTTCGGAGTTACTGTCCCCCAAAAAATAAAATTAAAAGTCAAAAAGAACAGAAGATTCAACAAGAACTGGGTTATGTTTATTATTTACAAGTTTGTAATCCTCTTTCACTCTCTTTCTCACCACCTTTTCACCCTTTTTTTGTTCGAATTCAATTAATAAATTAGCGGCGGTTAGATTTTCTTTTTCAGTTATTTTCTTCTCTGCTAATTTCTTTCTTCATCAGCACTAAAAAGTTTTTTTTTTTTTTGGTTTTTTGGTTGTTTTTTTTGTTTAATCATGTAATGTTTTTATCACCAGAAATGCCCTTCTTCATCCATCACCCACCTCATATAACCTTCAGGAATCCCACAACTGGCTTCTTCTTCCACAGTAACTTCCTCTCTCTAAGTAAAAACACAAACAAAGAAAGCAGAGTTTGGTATCAACACATGTATATTAATGATATATGCATCAATAGCTGCAATGCATAACTTCTTCTTCTTACCTTTGTATTCCCGGGATCAGATTCAATCACACAAATTTCTGACTCTATGTTTGTACTTTCAGGGATGGTATTGTAGGATCTAACCACGGTGGATCTGCACAAATGATTAAATGTCAACTTCACAGAAAATGTTTGGTTGATTGATGAATTCAGAAAGAGAGAATCTCTTTTTACCTCCCGTAACTCTCATCTTCACAAGAGTTCCCTGAAGAAGAAACCCAATCCATATCAAAAGCTGCACATGTACATTGCTCACCATTTCCATCACAGCAGAAGCAATCGTTTTCAAGAATCTCGTCTAAACCTATTTCATCTAATACCGGTGGTGGAGCACTGCAAAGCAAACCCATTCCTCAGATTTTAGCTTACAACATAGAAGAATTTACAGATTTACTTGATAAAGATCATAATAAGCTTTTTCTTTACCTCAAACTAGAAGCAATCACGGAAGTTTCACACGTTGAGATCTCAGGTGCTGAATCCGAAAGACCTTTAGCTTCTTCATCCTTTTCAGCCAAACCATGTCTACCGACTGGTCCCAACGAGGCTGCACTGCTCTCGCTAATGATGCTACTTTCTGATAGAGATCGTTTCATCATAGACCTATAGCCGATCACATGTAACGTAAGTGTCTCCAATAACCATAAAATGTTTTAAACTTCTCTACATGTGTTTCATTCAACCAGAAAATGCAGTACCTTGAATTTTCTGCTACAGCACTGGCAAGAAATCTTGCTGCATTGTAATGCTGATCAGAGCCCAGCTCCCACAGCGCTGGCTTATCTGGTTGTGGCTGAAAGTAGCCCAAGAACCTGTAGAAAACACAATTTCAAGAGTCAAATAATCTTGCACCTTTTTTTTTTCTAACTCATATACCATGGGCATAGAAAATAAAGAAAACTTTAACGTGGCATACACGTTAATTGCATCTTGCTTTTCAGCATCCATGTAAGCATTACTGTAGTAACGCTGTAAAGTTCTGAAGAGTTCTTGTGACTGTGTTGCCGCTTTCCACTGACCACGCCTTTCACAGAATATCTGTGAAAACAGAAACAAGATCATTGGTTACTTATCTAACAAGGCAACAAATTCTGGCTAGAGAAGAAGCTGACAAGGAGACCTACCTTGTTGTGTGCTGCGGATCCTCCATACTGAAGCGCAAGCGTATCTCCCATTGACTCGTAGATTCCCATCAAATCTTCAGCGAGGGGATTGTCTAGATCAATAGTAGTAGGCTCTCTCAACCCCAAAGCATGGAGCTGACGCCCAAATGCTACCAAACCATAAGCATATTGAGCAACATTGGTGCGGTCTAAACAGTCAATGCAATTGGTCCTGAGGACTCCTTTCTGAAGCATGGTAGCTTCCTCGCCGTCATTACCATTCTCTACCGCCAAACTTGATGCAATCTCATCTTTACTGGGAAGATCATCAGTAGAACATTGACCAGTGTTGTTCCTGCAATAAAAAGCCAAAAGGAGATAAATTAATCCAAGCCTAGTTACTAGGAATACACGAGAGATCAATAATATGCTAAGCAAGAAACTACACAGAAGGTTTAAAAAAACTGATACTCACTCTAGTGTAGATGGATTCTGGTTCTGAAACCCATCTGCTCTAAGATCTGAAGTTAGCTGACAGTAGAAGATGCCAGTCAAGTTCAGTGCATAAGTGGCCAACCTGTCGAGAATCCCCAACACGTTTGTGCCTTTTCTGAAACGAAACATTTTCAGTGAGTAAAAATAGAAAATGCAAAACAAAAAAATAAAGGACACAAAGATGCAGAAGAAGTTGTACTTTCTGGAGTGTTTATGCAGGTCCCAGTGAAGAGGCCTCAGACGCTCTTCGTTGCTTAGCGTTTTGTTTATAACTGTAATGGCATTTGCAAACTCTGCACGCAGAATAGTCTCTCGAGGTCTCTTCTCACGCGTCTGTTTTATCAACCAAAATGAATTAGGAATTACCAAAGGAAGAATCTATCAAAATTTGTATCCTAGAGTACCAACCTTTATCAAGTTCAGTATGATGATTGGAGTCCCATATCTCTTTGCAAGATTCTCAAAATGCAGCCTGGTTGCCTCGAAGTTGGGGTCTTTCGCTGACACTTTAACACAGATAAGATCAATCAGTACAACAAAGCAACGCATAGGAAAGAAACTGACAAGAATATATGATGTTGGAGAAGAAAGATCATACGTATTATATCAGGTTTGATATTCAAGCGTGAGGTCTCCTGAGACCAGAACAAAGGAATCGAACCCCGATTCTGAACTACAGAACTTATTCTGCCGGGATTACTATCCTGCGCATCCTCGAAAACAATCTGTTCTGTCTCGACATCATTAGCAACCCTGCCTTTCTCGTTCACACCACGTTTCAGGTATCTGTGGAACAAGATAGAAGAATATGACCAAACTAAGACTTAATCCTGTTACTGTTAAACTGTTTAACCAAATGAATGGCAGAGATATAAGTATAGAACAAGCTCAGGTGGAGAGGTTCAGAGGTTGTACCTTGTGCCAGCATAATGCCGAGATCGGCGAGCAATCAGAGTCAATTTAAAGTTCTTCTCAGACACTGACAATTCAACCTAAATATAAAAAAACATTCCAAAGGTAAACAACTTGTGCATCAAAAGACAAAAGAATTGAGAAGGCATCCACATAGTGTGGGGTTTAGTCCTAAATCTTGGGAGAGTTTTTTTCTCAGGCTGCAGAAATTCTTAAATTCAAGCAACAAAATATTCAATATCTCTGAACGTTAGAAAAAAAATGACAGAAACGTTAACTAATTAGTGAAAAAAGTACCTGTTTGAAAAATCCATATACCAAGGCAACTGTCCACATACAGTCCTTTGGGTTATTTCGAATCCTTCGAGTTAAGTATTCGTTCCAGACAAACATGGATTCGTAGTAAGGGTGTCCTTCCACATTGTTTGACAGATTCCTCTGAAGTGAATGCATGATGTGATACGAATAGCTGAAGAAGAAGTCCTTTGTGAGATCTACAGTGCAGAGCAGCCTCTTGTACCTATAAAATTTCCAAGGGAAGACAGAAGAAAACACAAAAATGAAACATGATTTAGAAACTGAATCAGCAAATAATCTGAAAAGAAAGGGAAGGTACAAGATAAATCAAAGCTCAAAGTATAACAGAGTAAATGAAATTAGAAGAAAGAACAAAAAAAAAAAGTTAGCTCCCTTTCTTGATAGTACCTCTGTCATATAACATATCAAAATAAATACAACAAATAGAAGTGTGTCCACTGTACAGACAGGGAAGAAGATACCTAGAAATAGTAAAAAGCAAAAAAGTGCAACAAAAGTTGTCTGACTAAAGAATTTAACAAAATGGAAAGGATATTTATGAAACTGGATTATCTCCAACAGGCAACGAAAACAAAGTATAAAGAACCTGTAACGAATCCAGTTACCTCAACAACTGTTAACTTGTCTAAAAGAAACCTGTAACATTCTTATGAGGGAGGGAAAAAAAAACAGCAGAAAGGTCTTATAAACTAAAATACAAGTGGAGAGTTTGATAGTTTGGAAATGTAATGAAATGAAGGTACCAAGGTACAGGTTTTCCATTTTACAAGCATAAGTGACATAAGAAGACCTTTTCTCATCCTTAGAATTAGCCACATTGGACAGCACAGAGGCATGTGGAATCGTTATGATCTTGCTCTTTGCTACGCCATAAACTGTGTGCCCGCAGATTTCACCGAGCTTCTTTCTTTTGGTGATTATCAACATGTAGTAAGGTCCCAAGAACCTTATGAATCCTAAAACAAGACACAACCGAGGTAAGAAATGTTAAGCTTATAAAGAAGAAGAAGAAGAAGATGGTTGATTGGGAACAGGACATTTACCGATGATCCCATAGCAAGTGGTGACGAATTTCAAACCACCAGATGATCTGTTTCCTTCGTGGATCCTTCTCAGAGTTTCGAAGCACTCAGATTCTGTGTAAGCCGTTGAATCTTGGTAGAAGTTGAGCTCTGTTGGCTCTGTCCTATCTAACTTCAGGACCCTCCAAAACGTTCGGTTTTTGTCTCTTCCAATCATGTAGAAGTTCTGTTTCACACCCAAAAAAAAAGACGAAAGTTTTTAAGAATTAGACAAATCTGTGGTTTCGTATTCAAAATGGAAAATCAAATTCTTGAAAAAAAAAAACAAATCTGCAGCAAAACACACACAAAGAAGAGAATCAAGAGAGATGAGAATCATCACCGAGCGGGTCTCGTAGAGTCTGAATTTCTGGAGGAACGAAGAAGTCGTGTCGACTTCTTGGTCTGTCGATCTCTCTGGAGCCGCCATTTGAGAAAGCTCTTCAGACCCGGAGCTCGAGAAACTCGGGTCTCGGATAATGGATGCAAGAACAAATTAAAGGAATCACAGAAAAGGGAACAGAAAGATATACACCCCACAAAAATCCGTGCAGCTCAGAGAAAACTGAATCTGACTTCACATACAAAAAAAAAACTACACAGAATTCAAAAAAAAAAGAAATCGTTGGAATTACAACTTAGACAAAACGATCCAGATTTCCCCCCTTGAGGAAGACGGTCTACAGATCGAGATTTTCCGGGAAAATTCACAGAGAATCTGAGTAGATGAAGATTGGTAGATGAAGAAGAAGAAGATGACAGAGCTGCGGTGACCGGAACCACAGAAAAATTATAACGAGAAGAAAAATGAAAATTAGTTTTTTCGTTTTTGTTTTCTGGGTTTTTTAAGTTTTTTTAACTTTAGGCGCTCGTTTAAATATCTCTCTCCTAGAACTGTAATTTTATTTTGGTCGTTTGCAAAAAATATAGTACCCGCACGTTTGTGCGGTGTGACGTTGTTGTTTTGTGTAGAAAATTTAAACCCTAAATCCGAACCCGACAAAAAACCCTAATCAAAAAATTTAAAAACCCAAACTTTTTTAATAGGTCTAAACATGAAAATCCGAAATCAAAAAAATCCCGAAAACCCTGACTGAACAAAAAAAATCTGGAAACTTTTTCACCCGGAACCCGACCCCAATACCTAATCAAAATTTTAAAATACTCAATTTTTTTAATATATCTAAACCCGAAAACCAGAAATCTAAAAAATCCGGAAAACCCTAAACTGAAAAAAAAAATTGAACCTAACCCGAACAGAAATTTTCAAAGAAACCCGAACAATTTCTATATCTCTATATATATCTCTATAAAATTATGTCTCAGATTTTCACCCAAACCCGAACTTGTCTATAAAAACCCGAAAATCCAAAAAGCATATTCTATTGATTTGGAATTATCGTTAGATTATGTTAAGTTTTCTTTTTTGCAGATTTTTAAGAGATGGAAAACGGAAGTTTTCTAAACCATCGGTTTATTTTAAGTTATTATTCTTGTATCCAAACAATTTTTTCCATTTATTCTTCTATCCAAATAGATTTTTCTCTTATTCTTATATCCAAACAACTTTTGTTTCCATTTATTCTTCTATCCAAATAGATGTTTCTCTAATTCTTGTATCCAAACATTAGAATGTACTTCTCAATTAATAATATAAAGATGAAAAAACGGTTCTTTAGAAATATTCCATTTCGAAAAGGTAAGTTTGACTTGTGCAATTTTTGATGAAACTATAGAGTGACTTGTAACTTGTTCCATTAGGAAATGATCCAATAGCATTTTATGTTTATAATTTATTAGAATGTACAACTGTTACATATATATAGTTTCTTATTAATAAAAAAAAACTAACTACTTATGAGCTGGCTAAAAAAAACGAACTCCATATGAGCTTAACTCATCTACACACAAATAAATTAGAAACTATTTTTCTATGTAACCAATCAATATAACTAAAAATAGTCAGAAATTGATAAAAGATAGTATATCTTATTAGTACTATATAGTAACAACAAATAATGAAATATATAAATTTGCTTCTATTAAAATATTACATGACTAAAAACAGATGATGACTATGTTTGCAGTTGATTTAATGATAATTTTTTTAAGTAGAAATTGTTGGTTTCAAAATTTAATTAATATGAAAATATAAAAAAGATACATAGATCATCAATTTAAGAATTTAAAATTTTGATTTTTTTTTTCTGTGATTTTAAAATTCTAGTTGTAATCATGTGTGAATAAATACTGAAATTTACATAATGATTTTTCAGTATGTTTTAAAGGTTTGAAAAGATTTCCAAGTAACAAAAATATAAAAGACATAAACCGAAAAAAATCTACGAAATTACAAATATTTATCAAAATTTATATGGTAGATTTCAAAAATCAGTGAATTTATAATGATTTCTAATTCCTACATAAGTTTCCAAATTAACTAATGGAAAAAACAATTCTATAATTTGTAGTTTATTAGTTTGTACACGCGTTGTCGTTTTGTCATTACCCGATTTAAACTATATATATAAAAAAAGATCAACCCTCTCCAATTTTTAATAACGTCACCACTCCATTGTTTGATACGTGACATGACTTTTTCTCTTCCTTCCAAATGACAAATTTAAATCTTATTTATTTGCTAACAATTTCAAATCATGCCATGTTTGTGAAAAGCTGTAGCGGGGAATCCGATTGTGTATATTAGATTCACTTTTCCACTGTTTGATTGTTTGTATTCACTTTTTCCAATGACAACTCTAAATCTTATTTATTTGCTAACAATTTCAAGTCATGCCACGTTTGTGAAGAGCAGTGGCGGGGAATCAGACTGTGTATAATAGATTCACTTTTCCATTATTTGATTGTTTGTATTCACTTTTCCCAATGACAACTCTAAATCTTATTTATTTGCTAACAATTTCAAGTCATGCCACTTTTGTCTTCTTCCAAATGACAAATCTAAATCTTATTTATTTGCTAACAATTTCAAGTCATGCCACGTTCGTGAAAAGCGGTGGCGGGAAATCAGATTGTGTATATTAGATTCATTTTTCCATTGTTTGATTGTTTGTATCCATTTTTTCCAATGACAACTCTAAATCATATTTATATGCTAACAATTTCAACTCATGCCACATTTGTGAAGAGCAGTGGCGGGGAATCAGATTGTGTTTATTAGATTCACTTTTCTATTGTTTGATTGTTTGTGTTCACTTTTTCCAATGACAACTCTAATCTTATTTGTTTACTAACAATTTCAAGTCATGCCACGTTTGTGAAGAGCGGTGGCGGGTAATCAGATTGTATATATTAAATCCACTTTTCCAATGATTGTTTATGTTCATTCATGTGTATATATTAAGAAAACAATCACTTGAGCCATTTACAAATTTTTGTTTTAGTAGTTAGATTATTAAATTAAACGGACGTTGTTGCATTTTTGGTTAATTGGAAGAATTTTAGGCAAAAACTGTGACTAATTCCAAGAGTATTTGAAAATATGGGATTTTTTTCTATTAAAAGAGTTTATAATATCAACCTTGATTGAAATTTTAGGCACTATTTTTTATAATATATGAAGTTTTGGAGATTTTTTTTTACTTTATTTTATGTAATGTTTTCAATTTTCTAAGCAAAAGTTATTGTACTTTTTTCCTTTTTTACTCTTTAAATTTTGTAGATTGTTTTCTTATTGATTGGATTGTTTTTGAATTATAATATAACATGTTTTATTTTTTTAAAGTTCAATATTAAATTATTGTTTAATATGTGTGTTAACAAGACTTCATATATTGTGAAACAAATGGAGTAGTAGGAGAATTTGAACCCTAATCTCTCAATTTACAAAATGAATCTTAAACTATTTACTAAGCATGAGTTAATTATATATTTAAAAAAAAATCATTTTTTCTCTAGATGGGCAAAATATAATCTCATAGCTTACATAGTTGAATTTAACATAAACAAAAATAATATTTTATTAGTAATCATGTAAACGGTCAAAAACTACTAGTACAAAACATGTGGGTTATCAAATGCAAAAACTATTAAATTATTTTTCGTAACGTAAGAAGTTATATAAAAAGGAAAATGCGTCGTTTTGCTATGAAATAAATAAATATAATTTGATTGGAAAATTTATAACTTACCTACAAAGTGGAACTTTTTCAACTATTCTAAAGTGAATAAACAAAGCCCACAGTTTCTTGGTTTATGTCGTCGGATCTATGCAAAATCAGAAGATTAACAAGAAGAAAAAAATCACTATTTTCAATCTGAACCACCAAAAAAATAATAAAAAATTGAGTCTATTGACACGATAGTTTTCTTTTACCGTTTCATGTAAGTATTTAACTGATTTTTGTGCTGTATTTTCGATATAGCCGCAAACAATAGTTTAACCCTTTAATTTTCCTTTCAAAACATTTCTACTAATTATTGTCAAATGAGCTTTGATGTTAATGATTAAGAAGCTAATAATAAGATGTCAATGACAAACGTGATCAGCATTTTCGGGAATGACAATTTTCTAATTTACATATGAGCTGGCTACAAAAATATGAACTCCATATGAGCTTAATTCATTTCTGTAACCAATCAATTTAAACAATATTATGTAAAAGAAAAAATAATATCATGTATGGAGATCAGAAATAAATATCAATATAACTAAAAATAGTCGTAAATTTTTGCCCTATACCACACGTTTTTATTCATTCAACTTTTTCTGTTTACTCATTGCCACATGGAACATATTCTGAATTTCCGCCACTACTTTTCACTGAATCCAAGATTCAAAATTAAAGCCAAATGGTAATAGTCTTGGAATATGAGAATTGTTTTCATTACAATCAACTGAAATGATTAGCAAATAAAATTGGAAGAACGAGAAAAATTCATGCCACGTATCAAAAAATATCCAAAATCAGGAGAAGATTGTCTCCTTTTCGTAGATATGATTTAAAATTGGGTAATAACATAATGACAACTCAATACAAGCTAATAAAATACAAATTATAGATTTTGTTTCATTAGTTAATTTGGGAACTTATATAGGATTTAGATATATTTAAAAATTCACTGATTTTTAAATCTACCATATAGATTTAAATCTTTTTTAAGTAGAAACAGTTGGTTTCAAAATTTAATAAATTTGAAATTAAAAAAAAAAATACATAGATCATCAATTTAAGAATTTAAAAATTTGTTATTTTTCGTTCTGTGATTTTAAAGTTCTAGTTAGAATCATGTGTTAATATATAACAAAATTTACAAATGACTTGATTTCGCAATATATTTTGAGAAATTGAAAATATTTTAAAGTAAACAAAATAACAAGACCTATAAACCGAAAAAAATCTATGAATTTACAAAGATTGATAAAAATCTATATGGTAGATTTAAAAATCATTGAATTTTTAAATATAT